TTTAGATTCGAAATTGATGCATGCGTGAGTAGATGGATGATATAAAATTGGATTTGATAATTGCGATATGACCTTTATGGCTCAGTTTATTTCCCAGCTCTTCTTCTTCTATCTTATTGGCAACTCTCCTCTTCCCATTGGCCTTTCCTTTTCATCCTTTGTTTTCCTTCTTTTTGTTTTTTTGGCCAACCCATCAATTTTTCTCCATCTCAACAAAATATTTTAGTTGCATCTGATTAATTAATATATTTTACATGATTTTATTGATATTAATTAATTTATTCGATTTCAAGATTTTTTTTTTAAAAAAATATTATTTATTTATATGGAATTTTTATGCTTAAAGTTTTTATATTCCAATTTTTTTATAATATTAAATTAAATATATAAGTAACGTTTGTGTCTGTTTTCATGGTACTGTTGAAGTTTACTCTCAAGACTTCAATAATTGCAAAGATGCAGCATATTGCCCCATCGTTCTCACCTTTTTCTTAAGTCTTCTCCTAATAATTTAAATATTAAAGTTTATTTTCTTTAGAAAAACACATCACAAATAAATTGTACGTTAATGATGTGTTTAAGGTAATAATCTGATAGTTATAAATGTTTAAAAAGTACGCTATGAACTTAAGGAAATAAAAGTAATAATAAGAAGAGATAAAGATAATTTATTTAATAATCTTTAAAGAATATTTTCAAAATTTAGAATATCCATTAGCAAATCATGAGTCTTTAAGGATAATTTTCTGACTGTTTGACATATTCTTATCCTGATAAAACACTTGAAGTAATTTTGTCAATAATGCAAACACTAAGTAAAGAGTAATTAATCCGCCGTATTGTACCTCAATCGATGGATTATCAAGCTACTAATTAATTAAGCGAAATAAATGATATTGTTATCAGTAGAAGTTAATCATATACGATTAAACCAAACTTGATTATTCAAACTTGCACAGCACAATTAATCATTAAATATCAGAATTTGGATGCTTGTGTAGAATTTGTTATAACTAAGGAAACTGGATGAAGTGCCATATATCTAATGGTCAAATCTCTTTCATTTTCAGTCAATTCAAACTTATTTTGTTTCCTGTGAGATCGATCGATCATGGATAAACATCAAGTCCTTTAAAGTTAGATAACCTAACTTGGGCCCCTCCTATTCATTTGGATTCAGAATAATATATTATATAGTTTAGTTCCCCAATTTTCCATTTAGGTTTATGTGTCAATAACATTAAACTTAGCCTATTATCATTTTTGTTGTCGGTGTGGCCATACCATATATATTATTCCAACCCAACTTTAAAAACAAAAATCCATCCGTTTAAATCAGTAAATGACATAACTTTTTACTCCTTCTATAGTCTTTAATATTATAAGCATTAATGAAACTAGTTAAAATTATCAAAATTGCCTTTAATAAAAGTTACTAGTTGAGAAATTTTGATTAATTAGTTAGAATGTTTTATAATTAGTTAGGAATCTAGGTGGAAAATTAATACTCTAATAAAATATATTGGACGTTTTCATAAAAAGTAGCTGAGGAAGTAATAAAGATAACCGACATAGAAGTAGCTTTAACTAAAATGAATTGAAAAATCATAGATTATCTTATAACATGTTTACCTAATAAGATGCACATTAAGCAACTCGGTAGGTATGTTGGTGCATTAATATCAAATCCAATCTATATTTTTCCACAGTACTTCTTTTTACAACTGAAAATTTTCATTTGTATATATGCTTCAACCATTCATCGTACGTCGGTAGTTAAGTCTAAATGCTTTATATTAAATGTTTCATCAAAAAATATTACTGAAAAATAAATGATGATTCATCAAAACTAGAAAATGAAAGAAGTGAAGAGAAGAGAAGCCGGATTAAGGAAAACACTGTAATTTTTTTAAAATGTTCGAGGCATTTCATGTAGAATCAAATCAAAAGAAACTTAATCACCCAATAAACAAATTAAAGTTGATTATTTTTATTAAGAATATTATTGGACCAAGATGAATTAACCATGCATGGTATTGAAGGACAAAGTATGATTTTGGATACTAATAGGGATTGGGTCTAACGGAACCAAGGTTCAAATTTTCGTTAGGAAAAGTACTTACTTTTAGTACCTGATTGAACATTAAACATGATTACCTCTAATAAGAAAATACATGTAGCTAGCTAGAAAAAAGTATTATTTTTGATATAATTAAGTTATATAAAAGCATGGTATTTTAATTTTAATTAATCTTTTTTTTAATTCATGTCTGGCTTGCTAGCTAGGGTGCTCCAATTATTATGACAGTTATGGGTTGAGGTGGGTCATGGAAAATGAAGTGATGGATAATCATGATTCATGAATCATGATCAAATAGACTAATAATTGTATAAATCTTTTTGGTCAAGATTGATTGAAGACACAAGCATGAAGGGTGTCGGAGCAACCAAATGTTCCTTCACTAATATGCTTCCCTATAATTTATCTGCTTTGTTTCTGCACCCAATGCATATGTGGGACACTTGTCCATTATATGTACTCAAGCTTCATTAAGCTCTATATATATATATATATATATATATATCAATATATATAAAATTTTGATACCATACCACTCTATCTAATTTCTTAGATTGTTTGGAGTTGCCTATATCAAGTGTTATAAACATGTTCATAAGTTGAGACAAAATTCTTCTTATATATTTACATTGTATCCCGTAAATCATAAATGAAAAACTAGTTTGAAGGATCATAGTGTCCTTCCACCTTCCAAATTTTGTTCATTCTATAATAAGGCACAATATTATAACAAAAGTAATAAAATGAGAGTTCTGCAAAGCAGTTTAAGAAATAGAAGAACAAGAATTCAATCTAGTAAGTTGAAAAAGAGGGGATTCTGCCCCTAAACGTAGTGAGACATTTGAGAAGATCTTAAACATGAAAGAGATATCCAACCAATAAACAACATTTCTGGGAGCAGCTTTCAAATTGATTAGATGAAAGAGGTACCAGGTATTGAACCAATTGAATCAATGGCATATATATTTTTCTTTCATTATTTTAAAAAAAATTACACTCGATAACTCACATTTTTTGGGGAAAAAAAATCATGTCAAAAGAACTTGGAATCATAACTATTTTCACAGATAAAAAATTATAAAAATTTTTGAAATTTTCAAGAAAATAAATACAAGATTATTAAAAATATAAAATTCCAGATTATAGCAATATTTTTATTAAAAATATAATGGTATGTCAATTAGAATTTCGTAGTAACATTTAGAATTTAAAAAAAGAAAAGAAGAATTTAAAGATCCATATGAATGAATCTGAATGAAGTAAGATTTGGGTCATCTGGTACAGTTTATCGTGTGTTATTTTATTTTGCAGAATTTGGTATTTGGTAGGATTTAGGAAATTTAAGACGCAAAACTCATATGTTTACAGTAAAATGCGGCAGCATCAAGTGGTCCATGTCCATAATTATTACCATTACATGAAAAGGAATTTTGCAGCATCAAATTATAATTGTGTTTGCCATTATTCCAAATAATTTATTACTGGATCGGACCGCTTCCTCATCACGATGTATATTTTTCTGGATCTTGTTCTTCCAAAATAAATGCTTAAATAATTACTACTCACTCACTATTTGCGAGTCATTTATGATATATACATGAGAAATCCATCGTATCTAGTTCAGAAAGAAGAAGAAGAAGAAAGATGGTATAGCTAGGGATGGGCATGAGGAAAATGAAAAGATGTCGTTTTCTATCATTTTCTGGGAAAATTTTTGTTGCAAAACCCACATGGGATTCGAATCCAAGCAGATGGGTATAGTGTTGAAGTTATCAATATCATCAATCCGTTGCAAGATTGAAGGCGGTGGGCTCGTCTTGCCACTGAATTTGGGTGGTGGGGTTTAGTTTGCCTTGTTCCCACACTTCATTCCCTGATCTCTTCTCTACAAACATTACATACTTTGGCTTCCAATAATGGCGTGTATATCTATTTATAACATAAGGAAAGAATGTTATTTTAAGTCATATTATTAAATATATATATATAATTATGCATTTCATTCATTAGTCAGGGAAAGAAGTCATTGATTTATAAGTAAAAAAAGAAGTTTTTTTATTATACTTGTAATAATATAATTAAAATTTTAACATGAACGTATTATTTTACTTTTCATTTATTATTGTATAGATTATTATTTTCTTAAAAATATATCTATGTTAGATATGAGTAAGGTTGAAAAGTTATTAAACTTCAAAATAGTTTGAAGTTTAAGGTTTTTTTTTTTTAAACTCCGATATTGAAAATGGCTTGTAAGTAATACTAGAGTATAATTGAGGAAATACTAGAACAAGTCTCTCATATATATATATATATATATGAAACTCAATAAGTAATGACCTCTCATTCTTGTTTATTGTTGTTGTCGTGTGTATATTGGTGAATTTTGTTGTTAGGAATGTTTTTAGGTTTGAATGGAATAATCTCATGAAGTATTGATTTATAGAAATATGAAACTCAAATTATTAAGAAAAAATGAATAATACAGGTCTACCTAGAATCACCTAAAAGTAGTAAAATGTTGTAAACCTAAATTTGATGAATAAAAATGAAAATCAATATATTTTATTTTAGAATAAGAATAAATATCTTTGATGATAATTGTATTAGACCCCTTGCCCCAATAAACAGGGTCAATCACGTGTGTCTGTCAACCTTTGTGAGAGTATTGTCGGTCAAACTCAAACCACTTTTCTTGCACAGACCAAGAACAAGAGAACATTTTCCTTTTCATTTTTTCTATCCATAAAAAAATTACCCACTCATCAGTTCTTCGATAATTAATTTAAAAAAAAAAAAAGAATTTACTTTAAGGAGAAGAAAAAGTCAGACTCTCTCTCTCTCTTTTGTCTATAATAACAAAGTCTTTCCCACAAGCCTTTGTCGTCAATCTCTCTTCTCCTTCTTGTTCTTCGTCTTCTTCAATACCTTCGACTTCTGTAAATCTCAGTGTGGGTTGAATTCCTATGCTCAGAAGTAAAACAGATGATGGAGCTTGGCTTGAGCTTAGGAGCTTCAAAGCCTTTCACTTTCATGGAAAAGCCTTCTGAATTACAAGCTCCTCTCAGCAACAACCAGAAACTCGACTTAGGCATCAACACTGCTTTATCCATTGGTCCGATCAGTACCAGCAAAAGCTGCGACGACGATCTTCGTCAAGAACAAGAAGACGAAGAACATCATCAAGAACAAGCCAAGAAGAAGGAAAATCACAGTACAGTCAAGGAAGATCAAGCTTCAGATTATAAATTGATCTCTTCTGCTTCTCTTTCCTCTTCTTCCAACAAATCCAATAACAACCATAACTCTTTACAGCTCCATCTTCTTCCTCACTCCAAACCTCTCCCTCTCTCCTCCTTCTCATGGCCGCCTCCTTCTGAGAACTGTAAGTACCTCACTTCTTTAATTACTGGATCTCTCGTTTCTTTTGCGTGTATTTGGGGCTGCTTGATCGAGCCTCATGTTCTTGGTACATGCTGCTGCCAGGTGATGAGATGGCAGCTAATCCGGCGATGGGTTTGAAGGTGAAGACGATGCCGGAGGAGGAAGAGTCGGAGGAGAGGACGGTGCTGTCATCGTCTCCGATGAGCGGAGCGTCGTCGTTTCAGGTGGATCTGTGTATATACAGTAATAATAGCATGAGTGGATCAGGAAATTACCATAATAATAGTAATAACAGCAACAGAAAGAGACAGATTAATGAATCAGAAGGTGAGGGTAATTATTACTACGACCGAAGGGGTTGTTCTTCAAGAGCAAGCGATGAAGACGACAACCACAACGACAACAACGTTGGTGTTCGTGGTGGTACCAGAAAGAAGCTCAGGCTCTCTAAGGAGCAATCTGCTTTTCTTGAAGAGAGCTTCAAGGAGCACAGTACTCTTAATCCTGTAAGAACAACTCGACCTTTCATTCTCTATCCGATTCATGGTATTTTGTTTGATTCCTTCTGAAAAACAATATTAATTCTATGTAGAGACAAAAACTTGCTCTTGCCAAACAACTCAATCTTCGTCCTCGCCAAGTCGAAGTCTGGTTCCAAAACCGAAGAGCAAGGTACGAATATATACATGTGTATATATATGCCTACTTATATACCACACACACACACACAAGCTAATTAATGCACTGTTGTGCTCATAATTTGGAAAAGTTGGAAATTGGATGCGAGCCAGGTTGAATTAGAATGGTCCCACTACAATACTTTACAACTATATATATCTTATGGTTTGAGAAACCTTGAAAGATTGATCATGAATTATTGAAAACCCTCACTTTATTTCACGTTGTTCGCAATGAAATTCATTGTGGTGACTCACTTCAATACCCAAGCTAGCCTCAGAAAATTTATATCAAATCAGAAGCTTTAACTGCTAATATAATTAAGCTTCTGATAATATGAAATTAAAGGGTGTGATTGTATGTGTGTAGGACGAAGCTGAAGCAGACGGAGGTGGACTGTGAGTACTTGAAGAGATGCTGTGAGACGCTATCAGAAGAGAACAGGAGGCTTCAGAAGGAGCTTCAGGAACTGAGGGCTTTGAAGGCCTCAAACTCAAACCCTTTCTTCATGCAATTACCAGCCACCACCTTGACCATGTGCCCTTCCTGTGAGCGCGTCGCCTCCAATCCCTCCTCCTCCAATAATAACAATAATTCTCCTTCTGCTTCTGCTTCTGCTTCTTCCTCCAAACCAGTTGCCTTCCCCTTCGCCAAACCCAAGTTCTGTCCTTTCCCTCACTCCAAACCGCACCAGTCCTGAACAAAACCACCGATCAAACCATATCGCTAAGTACAGTTAGAGGAAACAACATATATATATGCATGATGATACTGATCACACAGACATATTTGCATTAGTTTCATTTCAAGTGTTTTGTATTATTTCATACACACGTATATCTGATACGAAACAATTTTGTTTTGTGCTATAAATTAGTGTCCTAGCTGGCTGGCTTGTGTCTTGAGTGAAGAATGGTCGTGGGATTTTGATGGTGCTGGGAAATTGGTTTTGTACATATGTGAGGAAATTTTCTGAGACTGATGATGTTCATGATTGATTATTGGATTATGTTCTTTTAATGTAGAGATTGGTTTCAGATTATTGATCTCTCATTTCTGACTTATATCTCGATGATAGATGTATAAGAGAACAAAGGAAAGAAATTGTGGAGAAATGAATAGTTAGAAAATTTCTCTTTAATGTGAAACGTGGTCCAGTCCGTGAGAATTTGATTCATTTTCCATGAAAGCATGGATTTGAATTCCACTTAACAATGTCAAGTCCTTCTTTTTGCGTAATTTTGAAGTATTTCTTTTATTTTAAAGTCGTCAGACCTACCTTCGATCTAAAATCTAAATTTTTTTTCATAACAAAAAGGAAAAAGAAAAGAAGAAATTAAAATTCTGAATTTTTGGTAAAATTAAGAGTATCCAAGTTTCAAGTCAACAAGGGAAGGCCGGGGTTCAAGGGCTACTTTTCATAAAGCCGATCGATGGAAGACTTTAAATTTATGAATTTGCTACTTTTCAATGATTTCATTCTCAAACGCTTTAATCACAGCAGACACGTAACACAACCCACACTCTAATCATGCGCTGCACTTTATCATAACAACACATAATTCAACTAATTATTGTATTAATATATGTAGGATTATGGTACAAATTTGTTTTGAAAGTTTTTTCTTAGGAATGTTGGGCACTTGAAAGTTTTTTTTTTGTACAAATTTGTTTTAAAAGTTTAAAATTATAACAATATTATTCTCTACCATTAAAAATGTTGATGGCAAATATTACTATTTTAAGAATCAATGTTACTATTTTAACGGTCAATATATATTCTTGTTGAATAAATTTAACTTAGAAGAACACAATAAGCAGACTTATCTTAGGTGGAGTTGACTGTATAAAATTATGAATTTTGCACACGATACTATTGTATTCTATCAAAAACCAATTTTTTGAATAAATTGTTATTAAAAGGGTCTCACTCAATAATTTTATTGATGTTATCTTTAGTATTTCTTTGCCCATTTATCTTTATCTTTATTACTTATAAATAATTATTCACTCAAGGCTAGGTTCAGTGGTTCATTTGTTAAATAATAAGAGGATTAGATATATGTCCTTGAGATTTTATATTATAGTATTATACCCTGTAAAAATCAATGAGATTTAATATGTATAAAATTTATTTCTCATATATATTCATTTATATGGTTAATCATTGATCATATACAGAAAATTCAAACTAAACTTATATGTCCTTTTGCTTCTTGTGACTGAGAGACACCAAAAGGGACAGGAAAGCCATTATAGATAAACATGTCTCCTAAAGTGGCCTTTCCCTTTTACAACCCTAATTATGAGTATTCACGAGAGGCAACTTAATATATACACTTTCCATCTTAGTTATTTAATTATATAATATAATCAGTTTTTTTATTTATTCTCTTTTTTTGGCAATAGTACTCGTGTTCTCCCCACATAACATTATCATTTTTTGATAATATTAATTTTATGTGTATAGATAGACAAATCTGGAAGCAACTTACAATTATATATGCACAAGCATGAAAGCAAGAGTTTTATAAATAAATAATATTATGAATAAATTATCAAATTATATATTAGTTAATCGTACCTTTAAGTATAAATATGATGGTGATGACAGCTCAAATTATATATTAGTTACTCATTCCTCTCGTTATGTTTGAGTTTATTATGATCTGCTCCATACTTATTTTTTTAAAAAGTTATTAGCCAGCAAAACGATTAATAATATCATGTCAATTGTCAAGATCCAACATATATACAAGACTATGCATGATTTATTATATTAATATGATGTTAATGTCATCTCAATAATTTCATAATAAATATTTTTGCATGTATTCGTTATCAAGGCATTTTATAAAAAAACTATGACGATAAGAAAATATTTTTATCATTAATTCATATTATACTAATTCAATTATATTTTTGCCAAAAAAATCAGTTCCATGACAGAACTCTTGATCGATCAATTGCTTGATCGCTTTCAATCTTTGCTTCATCTTTTATTTTTTATTGGGGAAAGAAACGTGTTCATAAGTTGGTATCGTTCTATAAATCAAAATCAATATCGGAATTGATCTAATCAATATCAATATTTATATCAACGTAAAATATAAAATTAATTTATAAAAAACATGTAAATTATATTTTGTTATAAATCGTTAGCAATTATTTCTGTGACAAAATATAAACTTCACAGACTATTACACCAAACTAATCAGTATTTTTTCTTTCATATGTTTTTCTTTTCTTTTGAAATACCCATTTTCTTGTTTTTCTGGCTCTGTACCTAGTAAAGCATATATATATATATATATATATATATTGACACACCCCCCCAATCATGGAGAAGCATGTATAGTACAAAATAATATTATTTTGAGACGATTAAAAATGGTGAATATATATTATTAATTACATGAAGCAGTGCCTGTCATTAGTTGCTTCTGATAGTAAAACACCATGATAATTTATGTCCACACAACGTTGACACAACTAAGAGAAGAAAAAGCCAAGAAGTACGTTCTCTTTTTCTTTTTAAAACTAACATTGTGTTGTGTCAAATATATTGATAGTTTAATAGACACCGAAAGAGAGAGCAAAATTGAATATGTCTAATACAAAGCAAAAAAAGAGGAAAAAAGACATGAATGAATAATGAATGGCTTTGAATGATTAAAGGAAGCACCAAACAAACAACTATCAATAGTGGTTGAAATGCAAGCAAAATTAGATATCATTTAATACTCCATCTAGTCTTTAATATAGGAGATAGATAACTCATTTGTAAATGTGAAGGAAATCAGTTGAAATTATTTATTACTCCTCTGATACTTAATATAGGATATAATTAGAGAGTTGATATTAAATTAGTTCTATATATAAGATTTATTTCGCATGTTTATTAATATTTTTCAAATTAACCCTATTAATATTTTATCAACAATGATCAAGTAAGAGAAGGAGGAAGAGAATTGAGAAAGATACTTAACATATTTTAGAAAAATATATCATATTAACTAATTTAACTAATATCATTAATATACTCAAATTAATTAATTAAGTCTTACATTAACGACCAGAAGAGTATTTATTAGAATTTTCTGTTGTTTTCCTAAAATATTGTTTTTAGTCACTCTTTTAACATGTGTAATCAATGTGAATAATTTGAAAAAAATTATAATTAGAAGACAAAACAAATTAAAATCTTATGTTTAAAATCAAAGTAAATCTTTTAACTAGCTTCTATATTTAGAACCAAAAAAGGTATTGGATATCAAATACTACCTCAAGTTCTAAATATAAAAACCAATAAAGAGATTTTTTTTAGTCATATTTATAAAGATTGAAAAAATTAGTTAAATTAATTATTTATAATAAAAATATATTAATTAGTTTCTCTAAAATACCCGTATTAATTATTATATATTGAATTGAGATATTGCATTTAAAATTAAAATATACACATTATATATATATATATATATATATATAAAGAGGAAGCATATATAAGAGGAAAGGAATAATTAAGGTTGATAAATCATGCAAGGAATAAGAAGAGCATGCGTTGGCTCTCAATGGTGATATCAGTACAAACGCACCATGCAAAAGCAAATTCAGTAATGATTAAAATATAGAACCGACCATGGACCCATTATTCTGGACCCATCACTTTCTTCTCATTAATTAATTGCCAACCTTTCTTTTATATATATATATATATATATATATATATATCTTTTTATCTTAAACCCTTATAAAAGAAAAAAAATTTCATGACGTGACCTAATCACCAAAGTTGAAAGTTCAACTGCTATTATTTGGATGTCACCCAATGATTTGTGGTTCGTTTGTGTCCTTATGTCACTCATCATTTCGTAACCCTCATTTCTTTATCGTCTAAGTATTTTTCACTACCCTTAATTAACCTATTCATAATAATTAATAAGTAGCGTAATTACTTGACTATATACATATATATAATAAATCTCTGTTTCATCATGATCCCAGTACTTTTATTTCTTTAGATTTAGTCTTTTTCCGCCTTCAAACCATATATGTTAGATAAAACAAGCAAAACAATAAAATTTTCTCAAGATCAGATTCACAAAGTTCAGATTTAATTTATGAAACTATATTTAGTTCTCTAGTATATATGGAAAATATGTATACCTCAATCATCATTTCCTTGTAACGTTATAACTCCCTGAGAATATACCTACGTACTTACTGGAGAAAATGATCTAAAGATTCTCATTAAATTTCTTTTGTCCTTAAGTGAAAAATTCAAAGATACGTATTAATCTGAAACATAAATACTAGTACGGAGGTCAATATGTGTGTGTTGGCATATATATATATATATATATATATATATAACTTTATTTCTTTAATTAGTGGTTTTAAAAGAGAACATGAATGTGAGGGAAATATATTCATCTGTGGATCAAAACCAGGATACTGCAAACCGACTCATTATTGAACCTATTGGGACAGTGATTCAAAGATCAATAGTTCAAATAGAATGCAACTTGAGATCATTAAAACACAAATATAAAAAATTACTATTTCTTTTAGATCAAAATGAGATGATTTCAAGCTCAATAAGAAGAAAAAAGAAAAAAGAAAGATAAAATCTAACTCAATTAGCTGCTATTTTCTTTTATTAGTTCATTGTTTAAATCAGTCGACCTGAATTAGGCTTTTAATATGACCAAAAGAAAATACTATAATCAATATTTATTGTGGGTACTTAATTATTTTAACTTTTATGACATAAATGACTAGTGTTTAAAGATATTTATTAACAGACAAAGAGCCATATGCGATATAATTATTAATTAATTGATCAATTAAGAAACAATTAGTGGTGGGAGGTGATATATAATTATTGAATGTGATCTTAAAGTGGAGGAATTCAACATTCCGAGGTATTCAAGTGCAAGTGGGAGGACTAGAAGACCCTGCAGGAAGTGAAGAGCTGATGAAGAAACCAACTTTTTCTAAAAAAATATTTCTTTCTTTTCCTTTAGGGGACAAATAACT